GGCAGAATTGAGATATTCATCTTCAAAACCTTTTTTTTTTTGAATTCTTAGTATGCAGATCAACCTTTACAAGAATATTTTTGAATTATGAAGCTCATCTGATTTAAAATTTGAATTTACTAATCAGTTACACAATCTGATGACCATTAATTACGTGATTTTAGTTAATAATAACAGAAATCACGATAATTAATCCTAATTAATCGCAACAGCTGTTAAAATGGGATGTATCAGTACTTATGTATCCCGCGCCAGAGTGATGTATCCCGCTTCTTTGATTTTTAAGGGATATTTAGTAATTTCAATTCTTAAAGGGACAAATGATCATTTTGTATTTATAATATGTGGTTCCTATAATTTATAGTTACTTATTTCCGTATAGGCTAATATTAATGTTTGGGTTGGCTCAACATGATTCATACCCAATTAGTCCATCAATATTGATTGGGCATATTTTTAAGTGAGAAGTAAGAATAAATTGAATTACCAATTTATTTCATAATTGGCACAAAATTCTAAAAAATAAATATATAAGACTTTTTGATTTTATAAATTTAAATTAATATTATGTTAAATATAATAAAATGTCTTTTTAATTTTATTGCTTTTTAATTTATCAGTGAAAATTAAAATTAAAATTAAAATATTACAAAAAATAGGTTTTTTTTATAAAAAAAAAATAGATAGAATCGTAAATATAAGTAGAAACTATACCTAAATAATAAATTATGTTTTAAATTACTAAATTGGAGGAACAAAAGTAGATATTTATGATAGACTGACATAATATAAATTAAGTAAATAAGATTGATGCATCTTTTGATAAGATAAAATGAAATAAGTGATTACATTTTTAGTAAAAATGATAATTAAATTTGAATAACAGTAACTTAATAACAATAATATATAAGTATAATTTTTATTGATTAGAAAAAATAATTTTAAAAAAATCAATAAACACTCAATCCGCAATATCAATAACTTGTCTTTTCAAAAAATATTTATTGAAATAATGAAATTTGACAAGAATAACATTTATACGAGCATCAAAGGATGTGGATATAGCCTCGGATTTAAATTCAAATATAAAAATATTACTAATGGATTTAAATATCATTATTATCAAAAAGTTAAGTGACATTTCTGTACTTATATTTTCATTTAGGTGGAATGACATATTTTAAACTTTTTTGATCATTAATTGAATTTATGTGTTACTAATAATGTCGCGTTGGAAACTTTTATGAATATAAGCATTGACAGCGAATAAATTAAATATTTTACATTTAAAATATTTAAATAATAATAATTAACAATTTTTTTTAAAAATAAAACAGAAGTAAAAACTCATTTTCCTCAACAATTCCTCTCCCACCCTTCTCTCTTCCTCTTCATTCTCTCCTCCATTCATTTTCTCCTCAACCCACACTTCTTTTTCACTACAAATCAGGTGCTCACCCTAAAAGTCTTTTAGATTTTAGCTTTTTAATCTGAAAGTATTGAGATTATCAGTATTTATTTTTTTACGCTTCAAGAAAAAAGTCTAAGTATGGTTTAACACAAAGAATAATGGTGGATATTGAAAATTAATACTCCATTGATAAGTCAGAGAAAGCTTGAAAACTAACAAATGGAGAACTTGAATTTCTGAAATTGATTCAAAATTGTGATCGAAATTAATTGGATTTATGGTGGTGAACTTATATATGAATTTTCACGTGTAAGCAATTGTACTTCTCACATACTAGTGAGATGAAAAAATGGTTTAAAATATTATATTCTGGCGATTTTAAGGGTTCAATTGACAAATTGATGAGTAGGAAGATCCAACGTACAAATGGAGTCAAGTACAGAAATCTCTCAGGTCATTTCGCCTTTCATTTATTCTTGTTTTTACTGAAGACACTAATTGTTGTTTTCTTTTGATCTTATATTTGTTCACTGCGTTTGCACTAAAAAGATTCATCTTAGTAGTCCCAATGTCAACTGATAATTGCTTTGGATTTTGTACCGTCCAAATTTTAAAGTATATAGAAGATCAGAGTATAAAATCAAATTTATATTCAGGAACAAATTTACATATACTGTCCTAAACATACTCTATTTGTAAATTACATATATATTATGCTCTCTTCGGGCTCCATTCGTAGATTAAGATAATGTTGTTGACATTATATTACTACAGTTTGCCGCAATTATTGTTATTACAGTTTTACCCGATGATTAAGCCATTTGAATCAAATGCAAATTAACTGATTAACACTTATGGACCTCAAATTATTTGTCAAATTTTGACTTGAAACACCTATTAAGAAAACAATAATTAATATAATAAATTAACTATTTACCCCTCTTGATACATAAGATCTAAAACATTCACCCCTTAATTCTTCTCAGACAGTAACTCAATGTAAATAATTGAGGGTCTAATATTGCAATTCTTTTGGAAAAAGAGGGTGAGTCGTTTGTTATTTGCCTTAAAGAAACAAGATTGCTTTAGTTAGTTCATAAACGAGAATGAATAAATAAGATTTTGAATTACTTGGGCATTTCAAAAAAGCCCTAATCTAGTATACAATTGACTCATTCCAAATCCTAAACTTGAAAACCAAAACTTCCACATCTAAACCAAAAACAAAAAAATGGCATACAAATACAAAGCCCAAAATTTTCATTTCTAACCAAAACCAAAAAAATTAGACTTCTTTGGCAAGCTGTGGTAGTAACTCAGAGACAGAATTAATGTGCTTACCATTTATGTCCAATAAACGGTTCACGGTTGAGTAAGCATCATTGTTTGAAGCTTGATTTGCAATAGTGAATGAATTGGTGAGCCTCAGTTACTGTCCCACACAGATACGTGCATCTGTCTCCGCTATAAGACAATAGTGTGGAACTGGTTGTCTTCACGTAAGTAACTCTTGGAAGCATAATCAAATTGTTACAACCAGATTTCCAACGTAGTCCTGCAATACATCACTAGAACATGTTCACAGTGTTTCAATGACACCAACAGAAAGATTCAAGAAGCATCAAGATTGGCCAAACAACTGGACAGGAGGCAAATAATGAAATAATCATATGTAAGCTATTGAAATATCCTGAAACTAGTGAGAGCATTCTCAAGATTTAGGTTTCTAAAGCTATAGTACTTCATAAAAGCAAATGTCATAAACATCCTGTACTAGTTGACGAACAAAAGCAAATATTCTAGAAAGAGCTTACCTAAGAGCAACAACGCAAAGAGAACTGTCACTTTGCATCACTTGCAGAGCACAAATATCGGAGCATATATTCATTAGAGTTGCATGTATCTGCCAAATCTTGATGCAACCTAGTAATTGCCTTCTGTAAGGATTTTAGAGCAGGAAGCAAGCTTCTGGATTTCTGCTGAATAGAATTGCCGTGGATTTTGCAAAGTTCCTACCAGACATGCAAAAGGATTAAAAGCTGACAAATGTGTACAACACTTGTCAAGGTAAGAAAGAGCCAAGAGTTTGTATTTGATAGGAAACCTGACACCATCTGAGGATAAACTCCATATGTGGGCAGTTCTCCAGCAGAGATGCTAATGCCTCAACTAATCTCTGAATATATTTAACAGGGACTGAGGATGCTACAGCGGGTATATCTGCAGGACTGACACCAATAATGCACTTCTTAATCAAACTATCTTCATTTAAACGTAGACTAAGAATCACTGCACGACTAGTCTGATTTTCCTTTAGTGCTGCATCAACGGCCTGTAAAGCAAAGTACATACATAAGCGTATGGAAATGTGTCTTATGCACAGAGGCCATAATGTTTTTATATTTGGAAAAGTCAAGAAAAAAGAAATCTGAAAGTTACTTCCTTCAATCTAATTCCATAACCAATTCCGGGGTTTCAGAACTTTACTCTAATTAAACAAGGACTTACTTCTGGTGTAAGATCTATGTCTAGATCAGTGGGGTCAAAGATAAAAGACTCATCCATAGAATAGATCAAGACCCCTTCTGTAGTTGCAGCTGCCCAACTCCTGCCAGTCGGGGCAATTCTCAAGCATTTTGTTCGAATAACTGCTCTTCCATGGTTGGGCATTGACCCGGGCAAGTCATATGCCAATTTATTTCTCACTTGCTTATCAACACCTTCTTCAGTGTCACTATTATCATCATCAATCAAATTGAGTGGACCACTCTCTGTCATGTTTTTAGAGTTCAAAACATCCAGCACCCCATCTAAGGAAAGATTGTGAGTTATCTGGAAGCGACGCAGCAACACCTGCAAGGCAATATGTTTTCTTCTTTTGGTCAAGCAATGATGCACTCGAAAGCAAGAGAATATACAGCTTCATCGCACAAAAATACCATATCGGAAAGCAAACAGTGGGATCGAATAAGGAAATATGTAAGGAAAGATTATATCCATCTCTAATCACTAGTTTAGGGAGAAAAACTTTTCATAGTAGTACACAAACCATCAACCATCTGAACATTATAATGATTCTCAAGCTTTCTGATTTCAGAGCACTTGTGTAAAGAAGTGTTGCATTACTGTGAACAAAACGATAATTACAAAGACTCTTTCCAAGAACAAACAGACCAACTTTTACGAGGTCCTCACTGTTAATTAACAATAATGTAAATCTTACAAGAGCTAACATGTGTTTTTGATTAGAGGAGTCCCTGTAAAACTCATTCACCAGTCCCACCCAATAACTACAACCACCAGAATTTTCCTAGGAAGAAGATTAGCACCTTTCCCCCTGTTAACTATTCACCAGTAGCTCAAATACATGGAAAATAATTAAGCACCTCAAGTGCATGATGTTATAGAAGAAGCCAACACTGATCATGTTTTCACTTATTCACCGTTTCTAGGATTTAGAATGTCAGAGATACAATACACGAAGTAAATTAAAGGAATACAACTTAAACTACCGAAAGAATGTTTCGAAAGAGCCAACTTGCATTTTTTCTCCATTGGCTATATTAATCAGTCTGCCATTTTTCCCATGATCAGAAAAAATATAAAGAACTATCCCATGTGCTCTTATTCATTATTTGGGAGCATCACCAAAACGATTCCAAGGGGAATTATCTACTTGTTTGCTTATCTACTTGCAGCAGGGGATACTGATAAGATACCCAAGATTACAGGAGGTATTGACTTTTACGCATCACATGCTTCTTTTTCTACCAATTAATTAGGTATTTGTTCAACCATGCTTGATGTATTTATCATTAACCAACAAAGTCATACTTTAGTAAAAAAATATTCTACTCATCTACTGTAACCTGATGAGTGCCATCTCATAGCAAATCACAACACAATCCTGCATTGTATCAGTGAAATGGCCAAAATAAAGGATTGTGGATATACAAATTCAATGGCACCTCAGTTAGAGAAAGAGTACTGTGATATGACGCTCCACTAGAGAGATCCATCTTTTTGTTTTCTCTTTCATGAATACCCATTTCATTCATTCTACAAAAACATATTTTCTGCTTTCAACCTTCTTTAACTAATTACCGATCTTTTATAAGAAATAAGAATTAAGTAATCTGTAAACTAGAGTACATTTTACTAAATCACCAAGTACACTCAAAGAGCAACATATAATCAAAGAATTTAAAAACTTTTGAGTTCAAGTTCAAAACAAACCCACTTACGAGATGAATATAGCTGATACTAACTCACCACCAGATCAAACTTATTTGAATTTGCACTCTGTAATTGTTCTAGATAATTTGAAGAGAGAATGAAGGCAATCAACAAAAGTGTTATTTTTTATGTCACATAAAAGCATATTACTACTTAGGAGAGAATCGTAATTCACCAAGAGCACACATTATATATAATACCAGCATTCCTAAGCAATAATACGTAGCATTGAAAGAAGCCACTGACCTGATCAGCAACATCATACATACAAATATATTTACTATTTCCACCAGCTAATATATAGCTCCCATCAGCGGAATAACACAAAGTTGTGAAGCACTTCCCAGATGTCGAGTTAGCTGCTGATCGACGATCAGTCATGAGACGTCCACCTGCAATATCCCTGCGGCCTTCAATTGTGTACATCAGCAGACCCTCAAATGGATCCCAGAAATGAATATGTCCATCCAGGGTGCTACAAGCCAGCTGCTTGCCATCAGGACGATAAACAACTGTGAGGACATCATGAGTGTGAGGAAATGTTTCAACAGCTCCTTTCCCGTCAAATACATCCCACAAGCGAACAGTTTTGTCCCATGATGAGGAAGCCAAAGTAGCCTAAAGAAAACCAGAAAAAGTTAACCAAGCTCTACAAAATTGTTGGACTATATTGATTTATGATGCATTAGCAAAATGTTGTCAGTGCCAGTGTAGAGGATTGAAAATAGGCAGAGCAAACCTATCCGAGATAATTTCTGGAATCTTAAAAAATAGATAGACTCACATTTGTCGGAGAAAATACTAGCCCGTGAACAGGACCCTCGTGACCGCTAAGAATGTCTAGCAATCTGCCCGTCTTCATTGACCAGACAAAAATCTATGAAGAAAAACAAAAATAGTATATTTGTATCAACAGTGAAACAGAAATTAGTATTATAATCAATTAACAACAAATGATGATACAAAGATATGGTCAAAATACAATCAGAACTGCACTACCTCAAATGAGTCAAGGGTCCCGGCACATATCACTTCACCACTCTGATCAGCTGCTAAAGAAACAAATTGCTTAGATGTAGGGGTAGTAAAAGTTTTAAAGTTCCTATATCTCAAGAGATCCCATGCACGGACTGTCCCATCCAAAGAGGCACTTAAGAGACAGTGGTTGCCAGGCATGAAATGGAGTGCTGTAACTGCATTTGTGTGCTCGGAGAATGTTACAAAGCAGAAACCGGATGAAACAGTCCAGACCTGCAAAACATAGAGAATGAGTTTTTCTGCTTTAGTGAATCCAATGTTCACTGAAACTGAAGGTGCAGAAAAATGGGAATTTTTTTTAGCCGGAGAAGTGGTAATTATTAGGTAGAAAAGGAGTCATCCAGCCATCTACAATGCATACAAAGTCCACTATAAATAATTTCAAATTATAACCTGTAAGAAACAGTTGCTTCAGTAACTTGATGCATGAACTCTACATGAGCTTATAAATATGGTGTCCCTAGCAGAACTGAGATAGATGCAAACTTCCAAGTTTTGTCTCACTGGTCGTAATTACTACTTCTGAAAACCTTTAGTCAACTTGCATTAACTAGTTCACATAAAAGCAAATCTAAATCCTATTACCTTAATTTTGTTGTCATCTGCTCCTGTGGCCACGAGCTGAGAATCTGGTGAATATGCAAGGCAGTTTACATCAAAATAGTGTCCCTGTTGTTTCAGTATGTAACTCTCTGATTTCCACTCCCATACAAGCAACTGTCCAAGCCTGGCACATCCGAATGTCAACCAATTCCCAAGATCATTAAAGACAGCAGTAGTAATCTTCTCTCTAGAGATGGACAACAAGTGAATACACACAAAATCAGGCATTTGATAAAGCCCAAAAATGCCATTAGAAAAACCAACTACAGCCATATCAAGACCCCTATGATAATCGCAAGCTGTTAATTTTGCTGGTGCTTGCATGAAAAAGTCTTTCTTTATCAACTCCCATTTCAGTCTGTGCAACTGAAACCTATCATCTAGGTCCAATGTAGCATCTTTCCCATCAAAATTCTTTCTTTTTTTGACCCTGCTATCACTATCACCTTCTCTATTGTTCCCTTGCCCTTGCTCTGGTGTACCTGGTGATTCTGGCTCTGAAGCAAGTGATGGTTCATCAAAATTTCCATCCATTTCACTATATCCCCAGCTAAAAATGGCACCATCTCGGGATATGGTATAAACTCTACAAACCTTATTAGTTTTCTTATCAGTTCCAAAGAAAGCACCTACAATCACATCCCTATGGCCTAAAAATAGAAACGGCTTGATATATTTAGTTGATTTTTTCAAACAAAAAAGCCTCGCAGTTAGGTCTTTAGAACCCGCCAACACATAACCAGAGTCTGGGCTCCAATCTAGTGACGTAATTCTATCATTACAATCAGTAAACGTCCTGATCAACTCAAACGGAAAGAACTCTATTCTAAAACCAGGCGAGCGCCAAATTTGCAGGAGCTTACCGGCGGCAACCGCAATAAGTTGTCCATCGGGGCTAAACTTGGCAGCCGCCACAGGATGCTTGAAAGTGATGCGATGGAGGACGGCGCGGCGGAGGAGGTTGATAAAGAGGCAACGGTTGTTTTCGTCGATAGCAAGGAGGAATACGCCATCAGGAGAGGCGGCGATGCGGCGGAGATTGGTGGAGGACTGTGATGGCAATGTAATAGTTTCGGATTTGATGAGGTCAGTGACGGCAACACGGTTACCAATAGGGGAGATAAGAAGACTATTGTTCACTACTAAAGCATTGCCGCCTCTGTAAGGAGCTCCGAGGAGATTCTGGAACCTATAATTCATCGCTATGCAGTACTTGCAGAGAGTGTAAGAACGTATACAATGGCAGAGAGTAGCTTAAAACGAGGCCTTTCTTAAACCCTTCAAGAAGATGGGCGTTTCTTAAACCCTAAAAATTGCCGGTCCTGTTTTTGTTATTTTTGGTCTTCTGGGTCAAATCAGGTTTTTCATCAGTTTTTTTAAATAAAAAAAAAAGTTGAATATTTTAGATTTTAAATTATAATTTGACCCATAAATTTAAAAAATCTACCATTTTAAATCTTACAAAAAATTAATGTTTGGCATTGACTAGTGATTAAGCCTGTGTATTTAAGAAATAATGACATATGCATGTAGTCACAATCTGTTTATATGAAAAACATGGAGATTAAATTACATATCGGCCCTTTAGGACCCAATTTTACCGTGAAATTTTTTCTCTTCTTGCCGATCCTTAAGTAGTTAAGTTGATGCTGTAAGATATATGCCACAGTTCCTTCATTTATACAGAACTTTTGTTGTGCCAATCAAAATCAACTAATAAACTATGGCTTGTATACCAACCACTATTTTACATCAGTCACTACTAAATTCAGTATAAAAATGATTCGCTATGTTAAATTAGAGATAAAACTGGATAAAAGAAGCACAATTTCTTGACAAAAAAGTATACAACAAATAAACTGTGCGAGTAAACCAGAACTTTATCTTGTAGAATGTTTCCAAGTCACAGCATTCGACAATAGCATCCATCAACCACATAAAAAAAAACTGTGGACTTCTCCTGTATAATCGTATTCCCAAGTTCTTGTCAGGGGCTAACTTGAACACGAAAAACCATCATCCGGAACCCTCAAGTCTCAGCCTTGGACTTAAACCAATTACAGACCACATGCATCTCAAATGGCATTATGTAATGATCTAGCCTGGAGAAGAGGCTAGTAATATGCATAACACTTCCAAAGCCACGAAAAACCGACTTTGAGAAGAGAAACACAAAACATACCCGTCATAGTTTCTTAGTGCAAGATTCTGAAACTAGCTGCAGACAGGATATAGATAGACATCTCTCCATATCTATAAGGAACAACTTCATCACCTATAAATGATCAATTAACTGGTAAATATATCACAAGCTGAAAGCAACAAGAGTCTTTTTTTTTAATCAACATCAACATAGTTTGTTTGTATGAGTTCAAGGACTTCTTGAGATGCCTGGTATAAATAAGTAGGGATGCACCAAGAATAGAAAGGACAAATAGTTTCAACCTGATAGGCCAAGTTTTAGTCTGGTTTCTATAAAGACGAATAATTCCAAATTTAAGAGTTTTATATCCTTCACAGAGTAACAACACTACAAAATGCAGCTTTCTTCATCAATGGCGTCTCTTACGTGGTATGAAAGAGTGAAAAGGAGATTAAGGTAGACTCAGGGAATTATGTATTTGACAGTAGAACTGCCAAAGATATAGCCTGTATTGGGGCCTCGTGTGATCCATCAATTTTAATCCTCTAGTTTCTACAGAATACTAATTATTAACTGCGTACCAAGTATGTTAATCTTCTCAGAACAAGATATTAAAAAAGACCAACCAAATTTACTCTCTCTCTCTCTGTGTTTTTATCCACTTTTATAGCAATTGAAGAGCAGGTCATCAAAAATCTCTCCAAAACTTATTAGTTAGACAAATATCTGCACGATCCGTAGAGTAAATTTGCATTATCTCGTGCAGACAGTACTACACATCACTACTTGGATAAAAGAGAATAAAGATATATTGGAAGAATTATTGTTTTAGAAATAATTAGAAAGCACACCTTCAACTTGGAAGCCAACCTCTTAGACATACAATAGCCTTTAAGTTGACAGGGTACTGATTTCCAATTCCATAAATTCCCTAGGCAAAGCATGTTGCTCTTAGCACGTTCAGTTGAGAACAAGCTAGAGACATGTGAACCGAAGCATTTAAGCCATCGAAATCTGTCATCACAAAGTTGTCCTATGTCAAACCCTGGAATAAGATGCAGACCATGTCAGAGTTTTCCATTTTCAATCTCAAATGCAGTGAAGTGAATCCAATGTGCAATGCAAAGGTAACAGCAACTAAACATACATCCGGAAGACAAAGACAGCTGCTGCTACGAGACCAATGCTTCTGGACCTAAAATCTGTAAGCCAACCAGGTGCCCAGAGAAGCTTTCTCTTTTGGAATAAATATATTTAGAGTCTCGCCCTTAACATCATAATAATTGTTGGGGAAACATCTCATCTGGGCATTGTCTCTAACCACTTTTGGTGAAGGTCATAGACTTCATTAAATTCTCCCATTCTGCAGTATCTTTTCATGAGTATCAGAAAGGGAACATGGTCAACTGCTAAACCAGATGCCATTAACCTGCCAAAGAGCTTGTCTGCCTCTCTCATCATACCTTGTACACAGAACACCTTAAGTAGTTCCGTGTAAGTAATTACATCTGGCTGACAACCTTTTCTCAACATTTTATCATGTAGTTGAAGTGCTGAGTGAATCAGGCCAAGATTACAAGCAGCACCAATCAACAGATTGTAAGTGACTGAATCAGGGGTAAGACCATATAGAAGCAACTCCTTCTCCAAGGACTGAGCTGCAGAAAGATTTCCTGACTTTATCTGAGCATAAATTAATGCATTATATGTATATATGTTTGGTAGAACACCACATGCAACCATTTTTTCTCTAATATATGAAGCTTTTTGTATATCTCCACATCTTCCATAACCATTAATTATAACATTCCAAACAAGTGGTTCAGGTATAAGGGAATACTCTAACATGTAATCAAGAAAACAATTGGCTCTATCTATCTCCCTGTTAATACATAGGCCCTGTATTATCATTCTATACGTGATGTGATCTGGTTTGACACCCATTCCAGTCATAACATCATAGATATAACAAGCATCACTGATCTTTCCTTGTCTACAGAGTGCTCCAATTAGAGTGTTGTAAGAATAAACATCTGGAACAAAACCAAGTTTTAACATTTCACAACAATACTTATATGCAGTGCCCAGGTCATGGCTCAAACAAAATCCATGAATAACAACATTATAAGAAACTTTATCAACTTGGGTACGCTCTAATAACATCCTCTCCCAAAAAGCAAGAGCTTGATCAGTATCTCCATTTTTAAAGCAGCCATCCATCATAATGGTTGATGTAATCAAATTTGAGCTCCCCCCGTTATGAACTTTGCTTAATAATTTATGGAAAAGATTATTTGCCTCCTCCAACAGCCCCTTCTTACAAAGCGCATGAACAAGGATGTTACAAGTTACTCTGTTTGGTACAATTCCATGGTTGGCCATGGTAGAAAAGGTGTTTAGAGCATTGTCAACATCATTCACCAGGCAATAACCCCTTATTAAAGAGTTGAATGCAGCACAAGTGGGAGAAGGACCCCTATATAGCATACCTCTAACAATCCATTCTGCCTTCTCTAACTCACCGTTTTTGCAGAGTGCATTGATGAGGTAATTGTGTGTGATAACATCAGGAACAATACTATTCTGTATCATGTTCCACCAAAGCGATAAAGCTGCTCCCAGTTGACCATCCAGACACATGGCTCTAACAACATATGCATCTTTATTGAAATTTATTTCCCAGGTGCAGTAATTAATGCCTGCTTCAGCCAACGATATTCTTTCCCTGCAAAGAAGCCATCAGGTTCAGATTCAATAAGAAACAGTCTACAGGCACTGGATAGAAGTTAAAGTTCCATTGACATTACAAAACAAAAGAAAGTAAATCTTCTCTCACATTTAACGAGTTGTCCTCTGAAAGAAATGAGAAAGGGTGAAATCAGGACTTTGCAGAACTAAAGGAAGTTATATATAAAAAACACAACAAGTCAGTTGTTTAGACATCATAAGCATATTTAATACAAAGTCTAGTCAATGCAAGTAGCGAAGGGGAGGGGGGACAACTCTTCCATGAGCCCTCCTCTCCCTACCAAAGCTCGTGGAAAGTAGTCAGGATTACATTGTTGCTGATGTTTTCACTAGTATCCAACCTAATGGATTACTTCCCTAGAGAATGTCAATCACATTGACACCACTACAGATTTATATCCTAAGGGATCATCCTTAATGCCTTCTTCGAGAATTTGATATACAGCTGCGGGTAATGTTAGTTCTCTGAAATATCCTTTCTTTTACATTTTGGATTCCCATTGTTAGAGTTTACCTCCTTTAGCCACTTAACTACTGCAAAGGAAGCTAATAACATCCAAAGGTAGCTTTTGGCAGGGAAAAAATACAAGTGAGGAATTAAATTCATGCTGAATATTTTTACTTATTTACTCTAATGCTACAGTGCAGAAGACAAGTACCTAACCAACAAAATTACTTGTTTGCATCTAGTATATAGTTTATGAATGTTATTGTCCTAATAAACTATGACAATACTAGAAAGTAAATCTGGAATAGTCATATCTTCTTAATTATTACTTTGTTACTCTTTTCGAAGGTCTCAGTTTATGATGAGGCGAGATATAGTCAAGTGACAGGAACAAGAAACAAAAAAGCATAGGTTTTAAACAAATGATTCTTGTTACATTTACATTATCAAGGATGTGAAACCCAATATTCACTTGCAAAATCTGTGAAGTAGGAAATTATTATTATGCAAAGCATCTTTATGAATTCGTTTAAGAAATTTGCCACCCTTCCTAATGTACGATTTGATGATCAGCTTAAGCAGGGCACTAAAGAAATGACAGGAGAAAACAAATGATCCCACATGTGTAAGTTAGCACATCAACTCAATCAATCACCAGGAGAACTCACATTGACAACTACACAGTTGCCTAATAACCATGTTCAAACTTCAGAAATATTCTCATATCCAAATCATTGTGATATGTGCAATCATATGCACTTGACATCATCAAACATAGAACAACTAGAAATAAATAATTTTCCCTTTTAAGGCACATAAACTAGTCTATTCTAACTCTAAATACAAATCAAACCTCATACTCTTCAGACGATCCAAACTGCGCTTTAACATTGTATCCAACACACTGAAACCCGCTGTCGAGTCACCTTCTGGATTCGAATTGTTTCCCTTAGATGACCAATCTTTGGATCCCAGCTCGTCCCGATTCACACTATGCATTACATTTTCTTGTCTACACATAATATTACAAAAATAAAATATCAACAATTATCAAAGCACAATGAATTGGAAAAAGAAGAGGCGAGAATTATAATAAGTATATAATGGAATGAACACCTCATGTCAATAACATCCAAATTCGCTTTCGAGCAGAACAAATTGGCAAAATCGTGAAAAATGCGGTCCTTAATTATGTCTAGGGTTTGAAAACTCCCGTTCAGTATCCGAAGAAGAAACTGAGATTCCTCCGAGACGAGTAATAGCTGAAAAAAAAAATAATGAGGACGAATGTATTTTAAGGGGAAAACTGAGTATTGAAGAAATTACAGATTCTTGAGGACTTACGGGCTGCATTTCCCGTCGATTTGGAATCTGTGGGCGGAAGACGGTGGACTCAGTAATGAAGCGGCGATAGACACCAGTGAGCGACGACCGGAATGCCGCCTGAGACGGAGAAAATGCAAATGAAAATAAAGGACAAGTTGGACCAGAAAAGGAATATGAAGGATAAATTGGTCAAATATAGCTTTTTAATATTAACAACAAATATATGTAAAATTGTTATAGGAAATTAAAATAAAAATTTAATCATTAGTATTAAATAGCAATATGATTAAATCAAAGTTTCTTTGATAAAAGTCATATCTTTCCTTTAATTAAATGAAGATTATGATACATGGGCCATCGTGTGGCCCGCATATAAAATGGGCCTTGTATTTTTAGTCCCTTACAAATGAAGAGCTAAGCTGGGCTAGACTGTAAACGTCTTCAGCCCGACAAGACAGGGTTTGGTTGGGTTGGGCCAGTAGTTTTGTGTTTTCCTAATGGTAAATTTTCAGAGGATACCATTCTTCAAAAAAATTACTTTACCATTTTCAAATTATACAAATCAAACAAATATTTTATTTTCCTGATTTATATGTAGGTAAATTTAACTGCAATTTACCTTCAAATTTCCAGAATTTATCATCTACATTTTGGAATGTTTTGGTAATGCACGTAATTTTGTTTATTTACGCATTTTTTTCTAGCAAAAATTGTTGCTAAATGTGAATTTGATTCTCAGACAAAATAGATCAATGATTAAAGTTGACGAAGTTAAAGACAAGCTAAACTATTATTAGTGGGATCTCTGGTCAGGTTCAAGATAAGTCAATAACTCTATCCTATTTGCCGGGACTCAATTATTGTAACATTTCCGTGCAATATTATTCATAGATTAAAGTCATCATATAATTTTTATGTTTCTATCATTAAGCAGCTTATATTCTGTTTACTAGAAGCGAACCTAAAATTTAAAGATTTCAGGTGCAGAAATTTAGCTGCATTTAAATTTCGATCTCAAAGATGATTTCTATAGCTTACACCAATAACACAATGACATTCCTATGTTTTTCATTTGTGCATTGTTAACTACATTGTACTTTTTGTCAGTTTTTCAAAATATATATACATAATTTTCTCAAAGTTAACGGATGTATATGCACCCCTCCTGTGGGTCCGCCTCTGATTGAGGGGTAGAGACTATTTTAGAGTAGTCTAAATAGTCTTGGCCTGGATTGATCCTTTTTTATCGCTCTACAGAATACTAGTAGAGTAGGGGCTCTCTTGTTGTTCCATATATATGTGGGACGATTTGGGCCTACTATTTGAGGGATGGAGACTCTGACACTGTAAAATAATTGAACTACTATAGTTTACTAAGAAAAGAAATTTGTATTGTAGACACAAAACATTTTTGATCTGGAAAATTTTGTTTTGTACAAGCATGCACATACTATGATATATATTATATATATAAGGATGCATGTCTATCTCTACAACTTTTGGAATATAATAGGAGCACCATATTGTGGACATAAGAGCATCAAAATAGTAGGAGCATGTCGGTAATTTGGAGAAAGATCAAAAGAAAACCGCTGCAAGATCATAGCTATTGCTAATTTAGCTTGTAACACTGCTAAATTTTGGCCGACGCATCGCCGCGCGCCGAGGCCAAAAGGCATGAACGCCATGGGGTGTTTTGCTGCTTGTGCTACTCCTAGACCAAATCTTGCTGGATTAAATTCGTTAGCATCTTGTCCCCATAGTGTTTGATCGTGATGGATTGCTATAATTGGTATAAGGAGTTCAGTCCCTCTAGGTAATGTGAAATCCCCTAGTTGTGTATCAACTTTTGCTCGTCTAATTGCTGCCACTGCTGGTGGATATAGCCGCACAGATTCGTTAATTATCATTCCTAGCTGCATAAATCAAAAGTTTTTTTTATTTTAGTACAACAAACATGAGAAGACATCTCAAGACTAACACAAAAAAAATATTAATCTAATTAATATGTTTAATTTCTATACACAGATCTTTAGTTTTCTTTTATCAATCAATTAATTAAAGATATATTATGTGTCGAGAATATAACTTTAACAGTTTGAGCTTTTGGATGATATGATTACACACTTAAACGTAATAGCAGATTGTTGAATGCCTTGAATC